TTTCCTATTCTTTGGCAGTTTCTTATGTCACTGTTCCAGTTTCTGGTGCATTACTGACACCTTTATGACCAGCCCCTGGTGTCAGCCTGCTCTCTGAAATATGTTTTCCTCCTCTGGAAGATTCAATTTGAAGTTCTTCTGATCAAATTGATAGCATACATATTCTTCCCATCTCCTGTGAGGTGCAGCCTATCTCTAGCCATCAGAGACTTTACCCCCTTTAGTGTCTTCCACCAATCTGAGGGAAAAAGCCCCAGTCACTCACCCTATCCACTCACTGTTTCCCAAGAGCACACAGGGATTAAGAGGAAGAGCTTTCAAGACAGATGATATTATTTCATATCACATTCAACTCATCTACTTTCATACACTTTGTATGTGGCTGTCCCCAAAGAATTTTCAAAAACTGCAGCTGGTGCAAAATGTCATAACCTGCTTCTTACTGTTTGCAGGTCTCCAAGTGTATATAAATCCTGTGGTCTGATGGGTGCAGTAGTTGACTGTTCTCCATGCAGTTCAGCACATGAATTTTATGTTCGGTGTACCTGCATATACATTCCTTGTCTGTTATTTGTCCATAAATCCAAAGCTGTGGGTGCACTGAGTTGGACTGAGTTGGACTTTGCTCGTTGTGGTACCTCAACTGTGAAAGACACTTTGTAAGGAAGCCTGCTCACTCTATATCCTTTCAATGACAAGTACCATATTTTCCCGAAAACAAGACAGAGTCTTATATTAATTTTTGCTTCAAAAATGCATTAGGGCTTATTTTCAGGGGATGTTTTATTTTTATCATGTACAGCAATCTACATTTATTCAAATACAGTCATGTCATCTTATTCTGGTTGCTGCACAATGGTGGAGGGCAGAGTTTCACTTAACTGGGGCTTATTGGGGGGGTAGGGCTTATATCATACTAGGACTTATTTTCACGTTAGGTCTTATTTTCAGGGAAACAGGGTATCTCTAAGTTAATTTCATAAGGTGTGATATAGGAGTTGCTATAGAAATATGACATTGATTTTTCTTCTGTTTGCATATTTTATGTTGTCTTTTGATTGTACAAAGTACAACTTATCATTGAAAGTGTTGTTTCTATTTCTACTCTCCTATTCTTTTTCTTGATTTCTTTATTCTTTTTTTCTCCAAAATCAGATGATTTCTAAATCAGCTGTCTATTCTTATAGAACCTCTGAATCCACAGGGGATTATGGGGGATCATATGAACACCTGCTTCTGAATTTTCCAAATGTATCAATTCCATTACCATACTTTTATCATATTTTAATTGGGATGGAATTATATTTGGCAGTGCCCTGACCACTTTCCCTCTGCTTTTCATTGTTGTGGTCTCTCTCCCTCCCTCCCTCCTTCCCTGTCTGTGTAAATATTTGTAGCAAAACAAAAGGAACAGACATATAGTGTGCAACATTTTTTCTTTACATAAACTTTCTGAAAAGAGAAATAACTATTTTTCAAAGTACTTTAGTTCTGCATTCATAAATGAAATGACTCCTAGTCCTATTACTTATATCTCCAATAAACAAATAGAGTGACCTTCTTTGCTGGAAATCATGTATTATTACTCTTCAAAGACCAATTGTAGACATACTATCTAGGGTTCTTCACAGATCAGATGACCCAAGAGACAGTATGAGCTGGCCAGATAGGTTGTGTTTCAAGATCACAAGATGAGAGAGACACCACATGGATACTAGGATAAAAATCAACCAAGAGGTGCCAGTCCTGCCTTAATATGAAATACATTACATTTGTCATAACTACGGTCCAGTTGCTATGACAACAAGGATGCATATCCCAGTGGGAAGACACATGGAGGTCTTACATGGGCATACAGAGGGAGCTACCACAGTCCTTTCATCCATTATATGCATTTTAAATGCACTTTTGAAAACTTGCACCCTCCATTCTAAGCAAGTATGTTTGCTCAATTATAAACATTAATTTCAAATTGTCTCATATCCAAATGCATATACTTAAATTGCAACCTTAGACTCCACTGGATAAAGCACCTATTTAAAATCAAAAGCACTTAGAATTAAGATGTTTAGGATGAAAGTGTAAATGTTTGAATGCTGCTTAAATCCATGTCAAATGTTTTAGTTGATGGTTAGAAATGATACCAGAAGAACTGTATCCTAATTAATCCAGGAGTTTTCACTTGTTCACCAATTTCTTTTAAACAGTTATGCCAGCTGTTTTAATTTGCCACAAATGAAACTGTTTTTTAAGATCTGCCTTTCCTATAACAAACATCATATGGGGATATGACCTTAATAAAAATTAAGAGGTTTTAAATAATAGTTTACACCTACTGTCAAAAGCAGAATAAGATGATATAATCATTGCCATTAAATAAAGAAAAATATAGTAATATGTACTACCAATAGATGCATCAGCAAAAGAAGAATATAATGAAACATATCCTTCATTAGATGATGTTTCTGTTGGTAGCGTTTGCTTAAACACAGAACTCTATAACTTTTTAGTAGACCTCAATTCTCTTAAGAACAATTGACAGTGATGAAATATAACTCATTCATTATTTTTAGTATTCATAGAGATCAGGAACTACCATAACATATAGGCTTCCAGCTTGAGTTTCTAGTCATCAGTCCCCAAATATAATGGGGGGGGGGGTTATAAACTGTACTACTTAGCTAGTGTAAAAAGTATTAAATACTTTAAATAATATCTTTACATCTTTGCATGTAACATCCTTCCACAAAATCTGTTTTATAAAATTATGGTAGCTATGAAAATTCTCAGATCAATCAAGTACATTTCTGGATGGGACCATTTTCTTAGAATCAATTAAGTGAAGAAGAGGGTTATCTGTGGCTGTCAAATGTGATTTGTCAGTTTGGGAAAGAAAACCTTTAATCCTGTACAGTAAGCAATTGTTCTCTTCCTATGGAGGCATATTCCACATGAGTCAATGACATTAACTTTCACTGGCATTGTTTGGTATACAGGTGTAAGAGGTTCATTTCAATGTGACGATTGAATAGTTGGTGCAATTTAAGAAAGTGTTTCAAGATTAAATATTACAATGGATTCTTACAGCAACACCCTCCTTAATGCCTTAATAAAAGTGCTATAAAAATCACAGCATATTTTCCACCAAGATTAGGAATCTTTTCCTTCATCATTGTTTGGAACTGGAATTAATTCACCACTGGATTAAAGATGTATTGCTGAATTAGTGTTTTATTGAAAACAACACAGTACCTTTTATCTAAAGAAGAGGAACTCTGTTTAGCCACAGCCAATACTGCCATAACAAAACCTACATTCAACATTTATAGTGACCATTCTATCAAAATTCAATAGGGCCTCCAGAACAAAAGTTTCATGTGATATGCACTATGACCAGAGCAACATCTTCAGGTGATATGCATCAAGAAAATTCCTAAACATTTACAAATTGCATTGGTATCAGTGAGAAAATTAAGCATATAAAAGCAAATAGGTTTGAACACAGAATATAGAAACTAATTAATTTAGGGCAAGATGAATCTGCAGAATTTTCTTTTAATCCTAGTTCTCTAACCTCAGTCTAAGAAACAATCTAATGCAGCTTTAAAATGTATAGGAAATGTTTTCTCTGGCTGACTGCAATAATCATTTAGCAACATATGGATCAGACAACTCCATTAATATCAAATACGAACTAAGAATGTTAACTTCATTCAGCACCATGTAAACTGTAAAACAAGCACCTAAGAAGTGTTAAAATAAATGAATGAACACTATGTCATAATCATATCGATCACAATCATATCTATCTTTATTAACTCAATAAAGCTCCACAGAAGTACCCTTATTATATTTGCATTTCTTGACTGAAATGTCTAAACAGTCCCCATTTGGATAAAAAGGGCCCAAAAAAGTTTACTTCGTTAAAAAAAAAGTCTACCAAGACAATTTTCAGCACCTTTCTATTTGTGTGTGCATATGTTCAGTTTTATATACCCACATAAACACATCACTATTATCTGAATACAACGTATTACAAGAGAGCCATGGAACAGGGATTAACGGAAACAGTAGGAAGGCCATGTGTGAGCTGGAAGGGGAGGGAAATTGTCTTTTAACACAAGAGGTGTGTGTGTGTGTGTGTGTGTGTGTGTGTGTGTGAGAGAGAGAGAGAGAGAGAGAGAGAGAAGCTCAAGGAACAGCTGGAACTGTTAAAAACAGGCGCTCAGGGACCAAGGAAACCCTCCAAAGCAGAGCTGCAAGGATTATTACTGTTCAGGGTGAGGACGATTAGTTCTGTCCAGGGTACTGAAAGTCTCACCATTTCTTCCTTTCTGTCCCCGCCGCCCTAATACTCATTCATAATCGGAGGGATACAGAGTTCATTCAGCAACCCCAGACGACAACAGCTGTCTAGCCAATACAAACCCTGGTTTACACGAAATAAGCTTTTGAAGAGATTTTTTTAAAGGGGCCGGGGGGAGATCAAAGCTACACTGGGGGAATGAAGTCTGCTTGGTTGCTTCCCCCCATCCCACCCCTATTTAGAGACAAAAGAGACACCCTGTGCCTAAAAACGGTCCACAACTTTGGGAAGGGGGTGGGGGCAGGGAGCGATGGGGGGAAATCAGCTTTCATCCGCTTTAATCACACGGTGTTTTTTTTTAACTTAACAACCACTTGCACATGGCTCTTTAATTCTGAAAGTTTGGAATACATGCGAAGCCTCTCAACATCGTGGGAACACACACACACGCACAGGCGCGCGCACACATATACTTAGAGGGCAATCGGATCTGCAGAACCACACTGCCCCACCCCCTTGCCAATAAAGAGTAAAGTTTAATCCATGCCATTTCCCCGATCACGCCGCGTCGCCTCTTTCCGACCAAGGGCTGAGACCCGGGATAGAGGCTGAAGGCGCCTTTCTTTCCCTGAACCGCCGGGATCTCTTTGCTGGGCTTGGGCGCGGAGGTGAACCGTGCCGAGGCGAAACTTACGTGTGCCGTCAAACCTGGTCGCGATCGTGTCCAAGAAGGTGTTTTGAGGTGCCAGTAATCCTTTCATAACAGGCATTTTTCCAGCCTGGTCTGAAATTCTCCATCAAAGTTTGCCTCGACGAGGATAAAAGGTGGGAAAGAAAGTCGGAGCGCCTTGGTGTCGGAGGTGGACGAGGGGCCAGGAGGAGGAGCCCCGCGGATGTTCCGGCATAGGGAATGGATGCTACTTTCCTTGCCGCCGCTCCAGCCCGATGTTTAGCCAACCCCGCGGAAGCACCGGGCTTTGCCAAGCCGCG